TTTCCTTTTTATAGGTCTTGTATGATGTGAGGGGGATTTTAGAGAAGAACAGAGACACATTTAGAGATGATATACTGAACATGCTGAAGGATAGTAGGTAAGACGCAAACGGCGAGGAGGCGGAGCTCTGACACACACACACACACACACACACACACACACACACACACACAGAGCAGCGCCGCTTTTGAAGCAGAAGAATGAAGGGAACATTAATTCTGTTGTTTCATATACGCTTGCAGTTCAGTCACAAAAAAGAAGCAGCTGCTGCTGGGGAGGACGGGCCGTAATTAACATTTCAGCTCGGGCTTTGATTGATACAGCAATTGCAGCAGGATTTATGGCATTTATTAAATGAAATTTAATGCAAGCGCTGATGTGTTAATTTATTATGGTTTTATGTCTTTATTAGTGCTGTTTGTTAAGTCAAGCATCATTTTTACTGTTGGGCATATCTCTTGGGCCGGTAAGAAACCACCTACAGTAGAAAGTATATATATATATATACACACACATATACACTCCGAAGTCGGTTTTTCCATTTGTACCTCTTGCACCTGTATTCACTAATACATGAGTTGAATTAATTAAATATATTTCCCTTTGACATACTCTACATCGCTCTATATTTTATATTATTATTTATATTTTATTATAAATTTAATCACATTTTTTGTGTAAAATTTACTTTTGGCAGTCCAATCAAAAAACAAACCAAGAATCAATGTTTTGAGAAAGAAATTTCTGTTTTCACATATTTGATATCAAATAATTCAAATAGTGGATTTTAAGTACAGATACATATACAAGTCTCTTCTGCTCACCGAGGCTGCATTTATTTGATACAAAATGCAGTAAAAACAGAAATATGGTGAAATATTATTGCAATGTAAAAATAACTTTTTATAATAAAACAATTTAAAATAAGTGAATATCTGTTAAAATGTAATTTATTTCTGTGATCAAAGCTGTATTTTCAGCATCATTACTCCAGTCTTCAGTGTCACATGATCTTCAATAATAAGCAATGTTTCTTGAGCAGCAAATCTTGAGCTGCTGAAAATTCAGCTTTGCATCGCATGAATAAATTACATTTTGCAATATATTCACATAGCAAACAGCTGTTTTAAATTGTAATAATATTTCAGAATTTTTACTGTATTTTTGATTTTGATAAATGCAGCCTTGACGAGCAGAAGAGACTTCTTTCAAAAACATAAATCTTTTGTCCAGTGATATAAGTATATGTATTATTTGTTTATTTATTTATTTATTTTCCTTCAACATGCTCTACATCTCTCTTGGTCTTTCTAAAGTCTCAGTGTTTAAAGCTGCTTTACAGGGTCGTGGCGTTTGGTATATAATGCAGTGGAAACAGCTTTGATGAATTTGTGACGAAATGCTATAATATATAATATATGGTTTATTTATTCCTCTCCGCACAGCTGTCATGAAAATGAATTTTTAATGATAACGTGAACTGGAAGTATGCTTCTATAGACGTCGTATATATTAATTACTAATCTAGGTATTATTTTAAATCCCTTCTGACAAAAAGAAATGACAAAAAAAACATTATTAGAGTTTTGTTTTAAAAATATTGTAAAAGTGCATCATGTGTTTCTGGAATTCTAAATTTGATAGTTATAGATTTACTAATTTTGAACTCTATTTTTCTTGTCATCATCATCATCATCAAAATGTCATTGTTTTACCTCTCTTTCTTTCACATGATGGTGTTATATTTTGCATCCCACTTTTCCCACAGAAGATTTTACATGGAGACTCACGGAGTAAATGTGTCTTTGTTTTTCAGTGTCTTCAATCTTCAGCGTTCCCACCGTTAAGTTACAGCCTGAGTCTGGCGACAGCATCCAGGTGTGCAGTAAGAGCAACAGTCACGGCAAAGCGACGTCAAACAGCAAACACTGACCCGGAGCCAAACAGGTACGACACGTCTGACAGTCTCTGCTGGGGTTTGCTGTGGCACTAGTGTGCGCTTTACTGCATACTGCACACTGTTTAGTGCATACTGTTGATTAAAAACAGAATGCAATCAACATGTTTGCTACATAGTCTTCATGTGACCTTTTCTAATAGCATGTTTAATTCTTTATTTTGCTTTTTAAACACATTTTTTGGGTAAAATTACCTTTGTAGTCCAATCAAAAAATGAATCAAGAATCAATGTTTTGAGATTTTTTTCAAATATTTAAGTGAATTTTGAATACATTTACACAAAGGAAGAAGTTTCTTCATGGCTGCATTTATTTGATTAAAAATACAGTAAATGCACTAAAAATTGTGAAATATATTACAATTTAAAATATCTGTTTTCTAAGTGAATATCTGTTAAACTGTAATTTATTCCTGTGATCAAAGCTGTATTTTCAGCATCATTACTGCAGTCTTCAGCGTCACATGATCTTCAGAAATCATTCTAATATGCTGATTTGCTGCTCTAGAAACATTTCTGATTATTATCAATGTTGAAAAGAGTTGTAGAATTTATTTTGATCAAATAGATGCATAAATATAGTCGTTTCTTTAAAATAAGCAAATGAGAATGATTCAGCTTTGATCACAGCAATAAATTACATTTTACAATATACTCGCATAGAAAACACTTTTTTTTAATTATAATAATATTTTAAAATTTGTACTGTATTTACTGTATTTTTAATCAAACACATGTAGTCTTAGTGAGCAGAAGAGACTTTTTTCAAAAACATTAAAAAGTCGTAATTATTCTAAACTTTTGACCGGTAGTGTAAGTGTGAAAAGTGTTGACTTTCATTGTATAGGGTACAACTAAAGGCCCACCTTAAGAAACTGCGCCTAAAATGTATAATTCCAGAAAAAATATATACGTTGTATTGAACATTAACGGAGCAACAAATTTTGTGTTTGTTGTTTATTTTGTTTAAAAATCTTATAAATGTATAAGGTGGCAAGAGGGGCCTTTTTAAATAATGTCTAAGTTAATACTTGTTCAAAACAATCACTTTAGCAAAGTTTGTACTATTTTCTGCTTATTTTGAAAAATAAAATAATTTTTTTTTTTTTCAATAAATATATTGTCATTAAAATATATATAAAAAATATATTTTAAAATACAGAAACAAAATCGTTTTAATAAGTAAAGATTCTGAAAGTATTGACGGAGATCCAGTACTAATTGAATATATATTTGCAGTAGTAACAACAAATGATATGATTAATACCATGTTTTTAAATATGATGGTTTCCTTCTAAACATGGTGATTATCTCTAATATGGACACCCAACATAATATATGATATTTACCATCTGAATCTAACCATGTCATGTCAACAAATGGAAAAGTCAGCCATCTATTAATTATCATGTTAATTACTGTGCCTTTAGCCCCAACAGCAGGGGTGCTTTTTACCCCAAATACCATACTTTTACATATTCTTTCGTTATTTAAAAACTGTTGCTTTTCTTAAACAAAACTGAAAATCATAAAGAAGACCTGTCTCAAAATAGATGCATTAATTTTAGCGATTCTCATTAGCTACGTAAATCTACACCATTTCAAAAAACCTAAAATATTAGATGACGTAAGCACAGAATCAACTTTGCGCTGCTGCGCGCGATCGCGTCAAGGATCAGACAAATATACACGTGCATCTTGAAAAGCGGAAGTGCTACGCCACGTTTTTGTGCCATCTAGTGGCTTAGATGAAAATAATATCAAAGGCGCCTTTTACCCCGGGGCGCCTTTAGCCCCGTTGTACCCTATATGTATGCATTTCCATTGATATAATGAAATATTGCATGAGACCATATCACATATACATGGACTTAGCATTGACAATCGGCCACTGTGCTCTTTAGATGTCAGTATTGGCCGTTGATAAAGCAGTGCACTGTCTGCTGTTCCAGACATGCAGCATGAGCGGATTGACTCCCGCAGGTCAACAGACGAGGGTTTCATTGTCCAGAAAGAGGTTGTATTTGCATGTAATTTGTGGTGTGGACGAGCTCATCTCTCGCAGCTGGATAAAGCTCATAATGGAGGGAAAAGAGGCTTCTGCAGGGATTAGCAGCTAAATTACAGGCAGGTGTGGTGTGAGATTTACGTCTGAACCTCAGGGAGCCGCAGACCTCTGAACCCCAATCACGCAGAATAATGACACAAGCAGACTCATCAGAGTTATTTCAGAGATTCACACGCGGCAGCTGGACCGAACGAGACGCCTGCGCTTTACATGCTGAGCATCGCATTGGTTCAGCTGATGGTGCAAAAGAAGAATTCAGATATTTTTTGAAAGAAGTCTCTTCTGCTCACCAAGGCTGCATTTATTTGATCAAAAATACAGTAAAAATTGTGAAATATTATTATAATTTAAAATAACTGTTTTCTATGTGAATATCTGTTAAACTGTAATTTATTTCTGTGATCGAAGTTGTATTTTCAGCATCATTACTCCAGTCTTCAGTGTCACATGATCTTCAGAAATCATTCTAATATGCTGATTTGCTGCTAAGTTTTCAAATATTTTTGTGGAAACCGTGATACGTTTTATTTTTCAGGATTCACAGATGAA